ATATCTATTTGTAGGGGCACACATATCCAACATATCTTTACTTGAGATTACATTAATTTTCGCAGGATGTGTGTGTGTGTGCCTGCAAGTCCTTGGCTTGAAGAGTCCTATAGAAATTGCATTTCTCGACTGCGTATGTTATGATTGCAAATACACTCGACAGACGTACTCAATTTTTGACAGCAGCCCGTGTTATCCTTGGCCAAGTACTCCAGCTTAGAAGCTTTTGCCGAATGCAGTAGTATTTATGCTTGGAAAATGGCTTTGGCTTTCAGAGGGGCGAATTCCGATCTCATTAGCAGATAATTTGCGATGCATTTTGAAGCCATTTCCCATTTCCCACACCTGTGCGCCAAGCACTTAAAGAATTTGTTTAGCAGTTGGCTGGGAAAAATGCTGAAGCAGCAGCAGTAGCATCAGCAGCAAAGGAATTAAACTGAAAATAAAAATGTGCGGTAAAGTGAAAAAGGCAAGGGAAGTGACTCCGTCGAGCTTGCAATAATAAAGTGAACTTAGTGCTCGCTGCTCAAGTGCAATGGCAACTGTTGTTGCTTGTTGGTTGTTGGTTTAACTGGGAGCGTATACACTGGCCGGGATAAGTACGCTGCCAGGCACTCAATTTCGTAAGCAACTGTAGGCGAAGTAGAGTAATCCACGCTCGCTCATTTTCACAATTAGGGGAAGCAACTTTAAACAACGGATTTTCAACTAGCCAAGACCAGCGATGGGCCTTTGTTTTTCGCACACAAAAAGCGCTGGCTAAGAAGAATTTTCACAACTGTGTGAGGGACTTTTTTTTTGTGTTAATATTTTCGACTGCTCTTGACGTCCTCGTCGTCGTCGTCGTCATGGTCGTCCTTGTTGAGTGCAAGTCCTCGACGTAGTCGCCATCTCCATGGCATGCTTGGAATTTGCTTTGCTTTATGCTTCCTTTACTCTGTGTTTCAAGGAAGAGGGTTGGGTTGGGTTTTTGGGCGGCGTAAGTGCACCTTATTTCTTTCATTTTTGCATTATAAAAGGTAGGAATTAATGCACAGTCGAGTGGGGGTGGTGCTGGCAGGGAATGTCCAGAGAAGTCCTGTCCCCGTCCTCAAGTTGCTGAAAAGTGTTGGGAACTGTTTCGTGGTTTCTCCTTGTTTTATGATTAAAGTTTGTAGTGGGCGGTGGCGGCGGTGAAGTGGGCAGAAGACCGTAAATATGAATAATATAAAGTATATAATGAATTTTTACGAAATCGTGTCTTGCCTGCGAAATTTCGCGGCACCAAAATATTCATCTACTTAGCTGTAGCTCCTTAGAAAGTCCTAGTTGTTTTTATGATATTTAACTTTGCTTTCAATTTAAATCAACACATGCAAGACAGCTCTGGTATTTAATTGTACATATATATCTTCAATTTTCATGCAATTTTCCGGTTTAGTTGGAGGCCCACAGCCACCAATGATTTGCTGTCTCCGTTTGTCCCTTCGGCACTCTAATTTGTGCCGTTTATCGCACAAGTATTTATACATACATATAAATCCCAATTTATATGTTCACCAAAAACAAGACAGCCAGCCCCGGCATATTGCTTATCTATTAAAGCAATCCCAAATCGCTCAACTTTGCATAATGCAATTCGCCCAAAAACTAGATAAACATATACATAGAAATATACGTAATACGTATATATTTGCAGCTCTCTGTCTTCAGTTATCCTTAAGGCCTTTCCTCCTTTCGGCTTTTCCCCCCCTTTTAGCTTCCCGGTTTGTGCTGGCTTTTCAAAGTTTTCCCAGCCATTGCATGTCATTTGCATAGTTTTCATTGCCCAAAAGTCGGAGGGACTTTGCTTTTCCAACCAGCCTGTTGTTGCAGTTGCTGTAACGAGCTGTCAACAATCTTTTAGTTTGGGCCATCGGCAATGTATTTGCCAGTTTTTCAATTGAATTGTCGAACGACTCGTTGATATCACAGGCTTTCCGCTTGGATACCCACTCTCTGGACCCAAGATGCAAAAATATTAACTTAATTTATGAGAAGGCCTGGCCTGTTAATGTTGCAAATCGACCGACAAATTGCTCGCCATTGGCTGGTTGATTTATGGTAACTGGGTCGCCTTACATGGTGGGTATATGGGTATGGTTATGGGTATGGAAATGGGCCTGAGACTGAGACAATGCAACTAAATGTGCAACCTACTTTCCAATTACCCTGCTGCATGGGGCAAGAACCAAGGACCTTTCCAGCCGCAACAACAGCAACTGTGAGCCGGGTTAACAAAGCCCGACTGAGTGCATTTTAGCTGAATTACGGCTCTTTCTTGAGGGCGCACAAAAAGACAAGTGGGCGGGGGATAAGGAGGATGAGGGGGGGTAGGAGGATGTGCACTGGATGCACCTGCATGTACACTGTGGCCAGGTGAAGTGAGTTCGGGGGGGAGGTACATGAAGTGGGTGAAGGCCTCGGTGCACGCCCAAAGGCGAGTAAATGGCCTTTTGTGCCCATTGTCTGGGGCCTTTGCTACCACTGGTACTACTGCTGCTGCTCGGCAGCCATTATATGCCAAAATAAGGCCACTCAATGCCAGCGTAAGATCTCCTTCTACTTCTTGTCCTGAGACGCCGTTTCATTTGCAAGTTGCAACACCTGCAAATGCAATTTTCATAATTCACTGCAATTTAGTAGACTTTTCTGCTAATTAGTCGCAGGTACATTTAGTTCTGGGCGAAGGGAAAAGGCACCTTAGAACTTGGGCTAATTGCAAAATAAGCAGAGCCTCATTAAATTAGAGAATATTGCCAGGAAAATCGCCTCGAGGCGGAAATCTGGGCAGGCAACATCCGTTTCCGTTGGTGAAATATTAACCCACTAATGCCGAGGTCCCTGCCACGGCTCCATGATTCATACGGTGTCACGTTAACCCATTAAGCACCGCAACACAGATACAGTTGTTCGCCGCTGGTGTCCTTGTTTTGCGGTCTAAATGCACAAAAAGCTTAGCATAAATGAGCGCTGCTCTGCTGTGTTTTGTTGTCGCCTCGCGTCCGGTAACAAAGCTCATTAGCGAAAGTAGCAAAGGCAAGCAGCGAGTTGCAGCGTCATTCAGCGGAAGCGTGGTATCCCCAAAGGATCCACCCAAAAATAGCAGGAATAAAAAGCGCAGCATTTTGCAAATATTAAATCAGTCCGGAGGATTGCCAGATTTCTAAAGATTACTAATTAACTTGGTGAGTTAGGGCAATGACGGAGAATAAAGTGTTTGTAATTGAGTTGGTCAGTTTATGATTTAAGGAAAAACTATTAGTTGTGGTTAAGTTTCTAAAACAAATATGTAGTACATTTTTTGAGTTTAATAAAAATGTTTGTAATTGAGTTGGTTAATTTATGATTTAAACAAAGTTGTGGTTAAGTTTCTTGCTAAAACATATTCGCTGTCATTATTTGGAGTTTATTGAATAAATAATAATCTATTTACTGTTGTTATAAGAAGATGCCATAGCTTATTAACCTGAATTTCTATAAACAAAATCTAGCAAAGTTGTTGAAATCGGAGCGCTTAAAGTTCGAAATTTAGAGATCATTTAAAAAGGGTTTTGTTTACTTATAGTTTTCTCTTGTCTTTAAAATGTCTTTAATTTTATTTTTTGTGTACATTTTTTGTGCATTCAAACAAATATAAAATATTTGGTATAGCTTAAAAAACTACAACAAATTGTATTACCAATTTGACAGATTTGAGCGTAATCAAAATTCAAAGATCGTTTAAGAGTGGTTTTGTTTCCTTATAGTTTTCTCTTTAAAAATGTCTTTTGTTTTATTTTTTGTGTAAATATTTTGTGCATTTAAACAAATATAAAATATTTATTATACCTTAAAAAACTAAAACAAGTTTTATTGCCAATTCTACAGTATCGAGCGTAATCTTGCAACAACTTATAAAATCAAGTGATTGACAAAGTAGTAAAATCATTTCTTGGCATTCTTCGTATAATATTTATTTTAAAGTTCTACTCCTCCTTCAAAATGTTTTGCATAGCTCCCATCGAAATTTTCCTGATTTCCTTTTAATTCTTTAGGCAAATAATAGCAAAACGAATCCAAAGATAAAGTTCACAGCCTGCCCCGCCTCCATCGGCAACTTTTCCAGATTGATGCCGTTTGTCTTTGGGCGCCTTTTCCGACTTTCCCGACTTTTCCGACTGACTGTATGGATTTGAGTACCTGCTCGCAGAAGTGGAGCAGCTGGATGTGCGGAAAGTTGGCAAGTGCGGGGCGGGAAAGTGTCTTAACAATTGGTCGGGCATCTATAAACATAATTAAAGAAACTCTGGCAAATTAATTCAAGTTGAGAATTTAACAATTTGGCGAGGAAAACTTTTCCACACCGAACAATAAACAATCAAGTTGGCTTCAATGGCGACTTTGCCAGTCGGCAAAGCGGCAAACTGGCAACTTTTTAATCAAGTTGAGGATGCAAATGCAGGATAGTCGGTTTATATGGCCATCTAATTGGCCGGCGTTAATAATATGTGCTTGTTACCGACTGTTAAATTGCAGAGCAGCTGACGCCAGTGATTCAATTTGTCAGCTGCTTGTTGGATGTCCTTCGAAGGATGGGGTGGTGTCGTCCTCGAATGATGTGACTTTTAGTGCCGAGCTTAATTAAAAACCCTGTTGGAGTAATCGCCGGCGTCTTGTCATCCTTGCTCCTTGTTCCTTGCTCCTTGCAAGTAGTTACAAAGTTCGATTTTTGTCGTCTGCGTCTGCGGTCGTTTGCCCCAAAGTGCAAAGCGTTGTCCTGTGGAAAAATCAGCCAAAGGATGAGCTGAGGAGCTAAGGAGCTGAGCCGCGCGACACATGGCTTCCATCCAGCCCCCCTTCCCGTCCAGACTCGCTTCTAATTGAGTTGTACAAGACTACTACTAATTGCATTCGATGCCTGCCGCCCGGCGTTGATATAATTTCATTTTATTGGCCAGAGAAGGAGCTTAAGGTGCTTTCCGGTCAGATTTATCGCCGTGCAATTTAATTAAAGTTTAATCGCGGTGGAGTGCGTTCCGCTTTACCTGTCAACCCCCTTTTCGGGGCGGGGATCTACCCAAATTTTTAGTTTCACAAAATCCAGCACACAAATAAGTTGAAAATAGGACACCCAGACACACACACACTTTTACACGCCTGAAACGTAAACACACCAAGACGAAACACATAGACAGACAACCCGGACGGACGGCGGCATGGTACAGCAGAGCCTCGATGCGACGGACAGCGCTCTGCCATCGTCCTTCAGTCCTAGTGAGGATGGGGAGACCGATCTGTGCGCCTTTTGCCTGGACCCCATCCAGGATCCGGAGAAGCTGCACTGCAACCACGCCTTCTGCAAGGGCTGCCTCGGGATCTACAGGGAGGCCCGCAACTGGGTGGCCAAGCGCTGCCCCATCTGCCGACGCAGCCTGGATGAGCAGGCGTCCAGGCAGCTCAACGATGTAAGACTGTTGCACAGACTAAACACTTAGGTACTTTACATGACTGATATAAGGTTAGATCCATACTTTTGAGATCAATGATAAGTTTAGCAGATATTTTAATTTATATTTTTGGTTGACATTTATTTTATATATATTAACTATGTTAACATTAACATTAACTCTTTAATACAACTATCTATTTTTTTGAGATTACATCAGGATAAATTCTTTTTTTTTAAACAAAAGTTTATTACTTTTGCACAATCCTTTTATAAATTTACTTTTAACAAATTGGCTTAAACATTTTCCAGCAGCTTTAGATGTTTGTCATGAATTGACTGAAAGATATTTATATAAAACTTTTATTGTGAAGAAAAAGATTTAGTTAATAGTGTTTTCTTTTTCTTTAACCTACTTTTATTATGAATAGCAACTTATGCTACAGCGAGAGAAAAGATGTTTGACGATTATATTAATAATATAATACTGAGGGGTGTTACAGAAATCGGTGGAATATTGAATTCAGTAAAAAAGGTGCTTAAAAGTTTGCAGTGAAGAAAATAACGACCACTTTTGTAGTGAATCCAACGGACTTCCTTATTCAAAATATTTAAATATAACTATAAATTACATATAAATATTTCGTACCTTTATAAATGATTTAAAACCCTAGTGATTTCTGTAGCACCCTTCCCATTATTTACTTTTTAAAGTTTAGATACCTTTTTGTACAAACACAAACAAAACAGGCAATTCTTCTTTGCTACCATAGAAAGTAGAGGCTAGTAAAAATCATTAAAAGCAGAAAGGATATTTTTTAATCTGTTAAATATTGAAAATAATTTTGTCCTGCGACCTCACCATAATCCTGATCTTCTCCAGGACTGGCGCCTGTTCGGTTTCATGATGGCACTGCTGATGTTGCTCAGTCTGGGGCCGTTTTACCTGCTGCTGCTCTACTGGTGAACTTCTGTGCCAAGGCAGCAGCACCTGACTTACCGAAATATGTATATTTGTACTTAGATAGACGCACGAGAGATATATGCAAACTTGTCAGTGGATTTTAATTAAACCCGAAAGCCATAAAATGCGAGTGGAATGTTCTTTGTTCGGGCTGGTCCTTTGTCCTTTGACCACCTTAATGAGTTTTTAGCCAGCGAGATAGATAAGGGTTTTCTTAGGAAGCCGCTTGAATGGAAAGTCAAGTTGCGGGTAACAGAAGTGCACATACGCCCTGTGGTCGCCATGCTCCCATGGTAACCACGTATTAATTCAATTTTATGCGCCAATAAACTGCTTTGGATGCCGGCATAAAAAGTGTTGCCACGCATGCATTTTCCAGCGAAAAGAAAAATAAATCTAAGCTGAGTCAGCCATCCGCTATAGCCCAATATTTACAAATATCCATATTCTGTGGGTCCCTTATTTATGTTTATTTTGCTGCTGTAAATCAAACTGCTGGCCGCAAACATTTTTATATTATATAAATATTTTGCCACTTTAAAATGACCAACAAGTAAATATTGGAAATTGTGAATATTAAATGTTGATTGGCCAACAGATGGATCAGTTGATACCCCTTGTAGCATGCAACTTGTTGAAATTTCTATTTGTATATCATTTGAGTGCATTTTTATTAGAGATTCTTTTTGACTGTAAATATTTTTCTTTCTGTTATCTTAAACATGCACATTTGCACTCTCTAAATAATTATATAAATAATTTAAATTTTCTGTTAATCGATGTTTTGAATATATTTTCTATTTAAAAAGTGTTTTTCATAGAGCTATTTTAAGTTTATTAACAAATCTGGAATTAAAATTTTTCAATGTGGCCTAAACAGATTTCATATTTTACTATTACCATTGTATTTATTTATTTATGTTGTTTATTTAAGAACCGCCAGAGTAAATCTTGTATCTCTTGCGCTAATAAATATTTTTGTTTGAGATTTTCAATTTTGTCTAGGGTACAATGGCATTTCAATACTGTTATTGTGCAACCGCTGGGCTTTTTGCTGTCATTGTTTTGGATTTGGGCCTTGTTTGTGCCATAGCTTTTACTTTTTTTTGGCCATAATAGCTTACACATGCCCCGATCCACCGGCAAACAAATATGTTGGGCGCTTTTCGATATGGTTTTCTGGTTTTTCAACCATTTTGATTGCTCGCCAGCAGCTGTGGCTGCCCGCATTCGCCGTGAAAACGCTCCGTAACTAAATATACTACTGTAAACTAAAATTCCGCCCGAGATATGGATAGTTGTTGGTGTACTGGAACTGGAGACTGGCCTAATCCCCGCCGCCGCTGAAGTGGGAGCCCGGCTTTGGGCATCCAGTTCCATTCGCCGCTCGCTGTCACATCCGTTCGCACAGGATATGAAAAGGCTGCCGCCGTTCCTCTATATTTTTTCCGCTATTTGTCCGATTTGTGGGCCAATCCACACTCGATTTTTCGCCTTTTTTTTCCAGCGCTATTTGGCTTTTGTCAGCTGGCAGGCAAATTGAAATGTTTGCCCCTGGCATCGGTTTTCCACCAAAGCCCTCCGCCTCATCCCTCTCCCGCTTTTCGACTGTTTGTTTGTTGATCTTTGACACTAGGCTGTAATTGAAAGTTTTGTGTGGACATTTGAGGAGACAAAGCCAATCGATAGGGCCTGGGATGGATCCCGAAAACTGGTTCAGCGGAGCCAATCCAAATTGAATTTCGAACCGTGCCGAATGGGCGGGCAATTTGCTTTATATTCTCAATTAGTTTGGTGGACGTGGGCGGGCTTAATTAATTTTTACATGTACCGGCGTGACCTCCAGCCCCTGGAAATTGGGGAAAATTCAACCTGCCCACCTGTCCTCATTTGTAACGCCCATTTCGTTGCCGGCAAGCGGCTTTATCGCTCGTCCGTGTCGCGACCACAATTTCATCGATAGCAAACACAGACGGCGGGGATTTTCCAACCGCTTTTCCGCCCGCTTTTCCGCCCATTTTACCGCTGGCTCATTGCCAATGCATTGTGCGCCGATTATTTTGCCGTTTATTTCGCTCTCGCCCGGCGATTTTCGTTATTTTCATTCATTTCTCTTGCTTTTTTGTCTTTCGCTGACTCGGTTTTCCGGGGCCTGGGCTTTCATATTAAATTTTTGTCACTCTGCCATGTCTATCTTCGGCTTCGGTGCGCTCCAAATTGGCTGCTTTTCAACAAAGATGCAACATCTGTTGCCACGAGGCTCCACCTTCTCCTCTTGCTCCTCCTGCTCCTCGTTTCGTATCGCATCGTATCGCTTTGCATATCCTTTTTGGCTCTGGTGCAAATTGCAGTGTTGGCCCGGCAAAGGAGCTCATGTCCCGATGTTTCTCCGGCTGTTTCTCTCGCCGCAGAAACCCGAAATCCTATTCATTATGTCACCGGGGGCCAGGAGATGGGTGGATGGAGGATGGAGTCTGGAGGACGAGGATGAAGGATGGAAGATGGGGGTGCGGCAGCAATGGGGATCTGGGATTGCCATTTGCATGTCCTGTTTCGTTTCATTAAATGCTTGCCTTGCCGCATGCAATTACCAATTTATTTTGCCGGCGAGTGCACTTCTGGCTTGCCTCGGCTTTTTATGGCACTCCCTCGGATAAGGAATAACCCCCAGCTTAGCGACTGCTCACATGCTTAAATTGTGCCAAATTAGCTTGGTTTTTATTCTCATTTCTGGGTTTGCCGCTTTTTGTACATTCAAATTGTGCATTGTATAAATCCAGTGTGTTTTCCGCTCTGACTGGTTTTTCTTTGATTGATGCTGGCAGTGTGGGTTAACATGGCTTTATATTTTATTATTTTTAAGGGTGATTCCGAGGGTAAAAAACTCATAGATATATGCTTAAAAAATATTTTAATATTTATTGATGGTGGCATGTTAAGTTTTTCAGCAAACACCCTGAGGAATTATTTACGCACGGTGCTAAAGGCGCAATAACGAATCAATGAATTCATTTTTAAGCCACAAAAAATATTATAAATGCGACCGAGGGTTGATAGAGTATAAAATTATAAATTTATGTATATCAAGCTTAATAGTTAGACCTCAGTTTTTATGTGGCGAAAAACCACTTCTTATTGAAACCAAATTTGTTATATGTTAATCACTTAGGAATAAAACCATCTTTTTATTACATATTTGACATATCCTTCACGTAAAGATTCATTTGCAATTCAACCAAAAATACGAAAGCACATAAAATCCGAGGTCTTTTAATATTATAAACATGATTTTATAAAGATTTAGTCCAAGCAAACACGATATATTAAACAGGAATCTCGTTAAGTTGATTCCTTAGCCAGTCTAATTTTAATCCGAGAAAAGTGCACAATAAAGGCAGTGATTTTGCTAATTTTATGGATCTTAATCTTCATTGCCCTGGCTATTGTGTGCATTTGTGTATAATGATTTCTGCCCTTTACCACCGTCGCCGACTGTAATGATATAATTAATTAGTCAACCCGGACGGGGCGTCGTTGAACCCAGATGCTGCATTTGTTTTTGCCAGCTGCATGCACACGATCCTGCCTGTTGTTGTTTTGCCACGGGTTACGGGTTAGGGGTTAGGGGCTACCTCAGCACATCCGCATGTCCTGGCCGACTCCGTCCGGAATCCAGAGCACGGCGTACGGAGTAGGGAATCCGAAATCCCTGGTGCCGTGCCGTGCATTGTTTGCTCTGATTGCCGGCGTGGCTGAAACTGAAACCGAGGCAACGACCTCTGGCTGGTTGTCAAAGATTAAGCAAACCGAGCTAAGCGGACAAACAAACACGCACTCGAGGGCATTTGGCAGGACCTGCCAGCCAGGATGGCAGGATGGCAGGATGCACACGGCAATGGCTGCATTTAGTGTGCAATAAATTCCCTTTTAATTTACTAAATGTGTTTGTGACTGTCCAGCGTCCAGTGTCCAGTGTCCAGCGTCCAGGTTCCTGCTTCCAGGTTCCAATATCCTGCATCCTCGGTGTCCTGCGCGTGAAGCGGACAAATGGCTGCGGAAGACGGATGATGCAATTGTCTGGCTTGACTCTTAATTGCTCCTGCTCCTTGCCACTCCAAGTTCGAAGTTTTTTGGCTTCCAATTATGCAAATGCAGAATGTTTGCAGCCAGCAAGGCAATTGAATTTGCAATGCCAGTTGGTCGATGATGATTTTGTGGCCATAATGATTTGTTGCTGTGGTTGTTTGCCTCTCTGCTTGATTGACCGCACAATTTCCTGTCATTAGGGTTGGCGATACATATGCATATGTACATATGCTGCTCCTCTGGCCAATCCTGGCAGTCGGGATCGAAATCCTTCTCCTCCTGGCGCTGCTTGAAATGAAGCAGATTGTGTATTTATGAAGGCATTTAAAATGCATGCAGCGGGCAGCCCAACCACCTCCTGTCATAATTTCACATTAACCTACTTCCAAAAAATGAGCATCCTGCTCATTAGCCAGGAAGCCGGGATTCTGGCGTTTAATTATGTCACACCCCGGTCACATCCTGTATGTTGACATGTGTGTGTGAGTTGTCAGCGTGGAATTCATCAAACATGCAGCGGAATTGCTCCCTGGTCAACTGCGGCTGTCTCCCTCCCTCCCAATAGCTCTGTCCCTGTCCCTCTGGGCAGGACATCAAAACTGCCGGCCATAAACTCTCCAATTAGATTTCTGTACCCCATTTACAAAGGTGTGTTTGTGTGTGTGTCTTTGTGTGTGTGGGTTGCCAATCAATTTTTAATGAGTTTGAAATTGTTTGGCCAACCAACAATAGCTAATGTTGGCATAAAAAGTTGTTTTGATATGCACGAGTTTTCCATGAGATCATTTTTCTGAATTCAAGGATCTCTTTTGGATTATGTCAGCATACTTTTTGTTTTGATGAGTTAATGTTAGTTTATTCTCCTTTTTTTAAGTTGAGACTTCGATATTTTTTTTAGGAAAAGATATTTAAATCATTCTGAAATTGCAAGTTTTTAAAGTGAAATATTTGTTTTTAATAGGCGTTTCTTTCAAATACTTTTAAATTACACTTTTTTTAATGCCTTCAATGTTGTTTTCAAAACTGTAATACGTAATTTATTTT